TACCAAATATAATAAGTCTCATTCTATACTTTTTCATTATTTTATATTTTAAACACTTTTTGCCTAGCCGGTAACTGCCGGACCTGGGCCGGATACTCAGACTAGGCCAATGGCCGGGTTCTGTTCCCCAATTGTGTTTTCAAAACTGATTTTTACCCATGATTTCAAAGCACTTTACCTTGCTATTAACCGCTTTATCATTTGACATTTTGATAAATAAAAAAAAAATATATCACCGTATCTCCTATTTTTAAATTACATGATAAACAAATTGTATCAAAAAAATATATCTCCGGGAAAGAGATCAAAGACATGAATCCCATTTTTTGGCATAACGGGAAGCTCATGAAACCTACGATCATGGCAAAAAGGCCTCTCTCCATTTGCTTGAAAAACAATGTTCAGGCTAATAACTGAAGAGTCCACAACACAGAGCCACAAGATAATCGCCATTACCATGAGCACAGGTCTTTGTAATCGACCCCATGCCTTATCTTCTTCCCTGAGGCTTTCATACTCGTGCTTTGGCATGAAAGCCTGGCGCAAAGCGTCGCCCATAATTGCCATCGCAGATTTCTAGTGTCTCTAAGAATTTCTAAGGTTTATAAATAAGAAATTGCAGGATCGCCATAAAAGGGTATAGATTTCTAGAGTTTCAGGGATTTGGGTATTGGCTATAGAAACACTGCCGTGAGTTCAACTCCCACCTCACCTACTCAAAAAGAAGAGATTCTAGGGTTTCCCAAATTTATAGCACTTAAGAAGGTGAATTTGCAGAAAAATTCTGATAATCGCCATGTAAGTGCTTGAGATTTCAATGGGTTTATCTGATTACAAAGTCCGTGAACTTCTCGGGCTTCTTAAATTCTAGACTGCTCGAATATTTCAGGTGCTAATGAAGAAGAACTCATTACAATGAAAGAGCTCAATGTTTCAAGGGTTGAGCCTCAAAATTCCGAGGTTTCTCGGATGCCAAGGATTCTAAAGCTCAATTTGCAGAGCACCTCCGCACTCCAACGATAGCCATGAAAGACATCAGAGGTTTCCTAATTGCTACTTTCCAATTGTATAATATCTGATGGTGAGGATCCAGAGGTCGAGAAAGGTAGGGTTTATTTGATGTCAGAGAGAGCTGTGATAATCAAGTGTGATGAATGTTTAGAGGTTTTCATCTCTGGTGTCTCAAGCCTCCATTGAAGGAGGTACCCAAAGGGGATTGGGTTTGTGGGTTACGCGAAGTTCGTAAAAACAAAGGGGAGAGAGATGGGAAACATGAAGAAGGGAGAGAGAGTGAGGGATGGTGGGGAGAGAGAGAGATGGGAAACATGAAAAAGAGAGGGAGGGGAGGGGAGAGAGATGGGAATGACGGAGTGAGTGAACGGTACGAGGATAGAGAGAGACATAAGTTTGAGATGATAGCTTTTTTGACATGTATTTTTTAGATTTGGTTGGCATAAAAATAATATATATATATATATATATATATAAATTGATTTAGGGGATTAAAAGAAATAAAATCTACAATTTTTATGTCTCAAAATATCTTTTAAAACTTTAAATCTATTGTGAAATGAAACATAAAAATAGGGTATATGAAGATATTTTCCCAAATAAAAATCTTAACCTTGACATCACCATCCATAGTTTTAGCTTAATATCATATTTTGACCATTCCAACCCATAGGGCATATTGATGGGATCTTTTGAAATTAAATCAAAATAAATACTTAAAATGTTAAGAAATAGAATGTAAATAAATAAGTTACTTTTAATACAATGAGTTCAGCACCAATTTTGTCCATTAATTTTCAAATTAGATGGTTGTGAGTGTATCGTTGACTAGACATCAAGTTAAAAAAAAAATTTCTCGAACTACAAGCCATCCAGTTTGACATCCAATGGTTAGTATCAATTGTGACCTCCTTGTACAAAAAATAAATGGTTTCATAGTATACAATCCCAAATGTTAAATAACACATTCTTAGGTGTATTTTGATGAATTTTTCTAAATTATATGTGTGTGAAGATGTATATAAAGGCATCCCTTTAAAATTTTGTATTGTGTGATGACTTAATATTTAAAGAAAATATTACTTAAAGGACACAGTTTCCATTCGACCAGCCTGCATATTGTAGAAATGCGGGCTTGGCAATAAAATATATGATCTTAAGTTTTAGATAATATATAATATTTAACATGGAGATCATAAATATGAAAAAAAAAAAAATTAAAATAAAAAATAATAATTATAGTAAGAAAACATTTAAACCGTTAGTTATACTTGTTTTTACACTGAACACCTATTTGCATCCATCTTTAAGATGGATGCTTTATACCTTTGGATCCGCATGAAACAATTTTCCTTACTTAAATGATCATATCAATTTCCAACATCCTAAAGACGATCAAATAATCATTTAACATTAGAATAGTTACTCTATAAGTTTCATTTCACTTAAACACCACAAGGAAAATTTTATTTAAAAATATCAAAATTATTCCTATTTAATTCCTGGAGCTACATGAGTTGGAGGATTCTGAATTTGGTCTCACTTAAGTGGCCAAGCCAAATCACATGAATCCCCTCCTCCTTTAGCCTTTGGAATCCGGAAATATTTCATATCATAATATATTGTTCAATGTTCCTAACATGGACCATCCGAAAAGCGGGTTTTTATATCATTTCGGATGGACCAGCCAAATGACCATAAAACACTAAGTTGTTCAAGCTCCAATGATGATGATGATATTGATAATTATAGTGGGTTGCAAATTTGAACTTGATTTTAACCATCAAATTACGTTCCAAATAAATAGCAAAAGTAAAATGATGGTTATATCATTTGAATTTAGAATCTCGAGACTTTTTTTTAATTGAAAATCGGTGTTTTGTATTCTGGATACAGAGAAGTATTATCAATATTACTGAAGCAAAATGATGATTTACCCGCCATTGTTTAGGGGCTAGTGATAGAGAACTCATTTTTTTTATTATCGAAGACTCATTTTCTGAATTCCGAAGTTTTAATCGCTCAAGCTATTTAAGTGGTATCAAATTATTAAAAGGCCCTTCATGATCCTAGAAATTTAAAGGGGTAATTTGGGTATTTTTTAAAAAAATTGAAGAGATAAAATAATCATTTTAATACTAAATTAAAAAAATTTGTTTTTCTACATTTGCGGTCCTCAAGATTTAAAACATACATCTTAAAGATGGATGCAAATAAGTGGTCCATCTAAACACAATTGAAATTAAGGGTTCAAAGTTTTCTTAATATAGTTATTATTTTTAATTTTAAAATTTATTTATTTATTTCCATTCATGATCTCCATTTTAGATATTATATTTTTTTAAAATTAGGTCCAAAAATCCATCTCAAACATATATTTTTAAGAGGTGACTCATTTCTACATGGACTCATAGAAATTTATTTAAATTAACTTGGATGATTTGACCATTGATTTGGTCAAATTATTCATGCATTTAAGTGATATGTTTCCTACCATCAAAATATAGCCGTTTCTTTTTATCCAAAATTGAGCTAAAATTTGAAATTCAAATATCCATTGCCGATATATTTCGGTGGAATTGCGATAAACACCAAAGCCGAGCTCTCCTTGTGGGTTTCTCTGTCATCAAGTTTAGGTATGGTCAAGTCCTTCCAATTTGCTTTATGGAATTTCTCTCTCTCCCTCTGTCTCTCTTCTGTTTTTTTTTTCTTCCTTCCTTTTTTTTTTGCCTTTGCGTATGCTGTTTAATATATGGTATTTCACTCTTTTTTTTGCCTTTGCGTATGCTGTTTAATATATGGTATTTCACTCTAACCAAGGGATTCCTTTCTGCATAATATTGGCCATACTCTCTCTCTCACACACACACATTTTTGCTGGTTTGATTTAGTGATACTGCTTTTTCTCACTAAAATTTACTTACTCTTCAGTCTTCATCAATATACTTGACATTACCTGAAGTGAAACAGAAGCAATAACCAGACATATTCAAGTATTGGAGATATACACTTATTCTTCAATTTTTTATTTTTTAAAAATAGCACACCCCTATTCTTCATACAGACTTCTTATCAACATGCAAAGATTAGTTGAGTTTTGCAGTAGTTATAGGATACTTATTTTCAACTTGAATGATTTGGGGTTTGGCTTTTGCATAAATTTTTTTGATATTTATGGAAAGCCCAATATATAATTTGTTAATTAAAACATACATTGGAAGTTTTGAGCACTCTTGAAGCATGTGGAAGAGAAAACCATACACCCCTTTTTTAAGAATGGAAAGAAATAAGCTTATTTCATGCATAAGGTTATATAAATACACTGCAAATTTACAAAAATAGAATGCATATTAATGCAATGCAAATTATAGGTGCAATTCATATTAATACAATGCCAATATAAATACAATGCAATATTATAGAGCGACCTTACAATGGGTAAAACAATGATTGAATGGACATGGATGGAGCAATTCCCATGAGATAGCCTGGCAGAGGAGATATAAGCCAACTGTTTATTGATTGATAATCTCTATTATCTATATCCATGAAATAGTTTAATTCACCTAGATTCTTCATTTTAAAGGCTGTTTTCAGTAAAAGGATCCGATCTCAGCAAAATCAGCATGTTTATTTTACACTTAAAATAGTGATGAGCAATGTTTGGAAACTCGATTCAGACCTTGCACTCGACTCTAGCCGAGCAGTGTTACTTCGCTGAGTCCATGTACAGAGCCAAAAATTCAAAAAAAAAGAAGTAATACTAAAAAACAAAAATTTGTTAGGAATAGAGGAAAATAGTAAAAATTCAAAATAAACCCAAAACAACAATAAAAGTCCAAAAAGTGCTGAAAAAAAATATAAAATGTTGGATTTAGAAAAAATTGATGTACAGTTAGGAATTTTTGAAAAATCTAATAAATGAGGAAAATATAAAACTAGAGCATAGGATGAGAAAAAACTCACAAATAATTGTTAAAAATATCCAAATTACATATAAAATATTTATACATTAATTCTGCAAGTTAATATATTTTTATGATTTTCTTTTTCAATCAACCCGAATTGTACCCTAGTCCCGGCGAGGAGCCAAGTCTGAGTGGACTTGACGAGTTTGTAAGCACCGGTAATAAATGATAAACAAGGAGTACCACCTACCTCTAGGAATAGGAGGAAAAAATGAAAAGGGTAGGTTGGAGTGGTTTCCTTTTGGGGCAAACTCCAAGAATTGAGTCCATGAACACCCTCATGCAGACTCGATGTGAGCCATACTTAAACAATTATCATAAAATGAAAACAGAGGAAACAACTATTTGTACAAATAGGGGGACAATTAGGTCTTGTACCGAATCATTGATACTCACTTGAAAGGTCATGAAGAATTTTTCATTTTGATGGATGCGATAATCATTGTGTGAATATAACTTAGATTGCTTTTTTTGACATTGAGAACATCAGAACATATGATTTTTTTTTTTTGAAACAATAGCAATTATATTTACTCAACAATGAAAAGAAAAGATTATATTCAAGCATTAATTTGGAATTAGAATTGTCAATCCCTAGCCATGTACCAAGGCACATTTGGAAACTTAAATGATCGAAGAATGTTTTTCCTGAAATTAAATTATCTTAACATGGTGGTACTACACATTCGAAATCTGCATAACTATGTTTTATAATATTGTCATAAATTTAAGATTATAATTCAATCACCTCTAGGATTACCGATCTATAAAAACGAAATATTCACTCTCTAGGATACGATATCTCTAATGTTGCTGCTTTTCTTTTTGTTATATATTTGTACATCTTGGGTTGCTACTCTTACTGCTTTTCTACCAGCATTCCCCTTGGAACAGAATCCATGTCATTCATGTTTATCTCAAAAGGCTCTCACATGACAAAAAGCAATGAATTTTCCTTGTCAGCTTATAATGAACCATGCCTGATTTTAGTTCATACCTTTAGTTCCACATTAGCATCCAGATGTACCTAGTTTTAACATAATCAAACTACTTTGAATTGTCATTGATGTTATGGCCACAATGTTGCTCCTACCCACCTTCACTTTCCTCTTTAGCACATTTAGAAATGACTGTAACGTCTCTATGCCCTTCTTATGTTGTACTGCTCTGTTATAGATAATTTTATTATGCTATGAGTGTGGTCATTCTTGGTCATTGTTCTTTTTTGTTTAAACTCTATTGGTTTCTTCTAGCACCAATGTGAACGGATTAAAGAATTTTCCCCAAGTATGCATGAATGATTTTCATAGGTTTGTTACTTGGTGGACCTTGTTATTGTAAACCAACTTTTCTTCTGTTGTACTCGAATTTCATTATTTAACAACGTAAAATATGTTCTTGATACTTGGGTAATTTTCACTGATTTATTATGGGATACAGAGTTATTAATATATGTTTTATTCTTTGATAATATGTGATGGCATGTTTTGAGTGGTCAAATTGTGTAGTTCAGACTTCAGACATGAAGAAAAAGAAGCATCATACTCTGAATGCAACTTTATTGAAGAATAAGAAAGGATTGTTTATGGAAATGGACTGCTCTGATCAAATTAGCAAGCTTTCTGACAGCATTCTTGGTTGCATAATAAGCCATTTGCCTATGAAAGATGCAGTGAGGAAAGATGGAAAGACATGTGGACTTTTGTCATTGACCTTGATTTCAATGAAGACCTCTTTCCCTTCAAGAAGCAATCAGGAAAGAGAAAGTAAGGGAAGACGATGATTGGAAAGAGAGCACAAATGGTGGAGAGTATCAACCACTTCTTAGAACATCACAGCGGTCATATTCAAAGATTTAAGCTATTGTTCTACCCTCATAGGTTCAAATCCCATGTTCATGAGTGGATTGCTTTTCTCTCAAGAAGTGGGGCCCAAGAAGTTGATCTCAATTTCGTTGGGAGTTTATGGCATATGAAGGGCCTTGCTATAAGCTGGCTGTTGTTTCTTTAGTCGCAAATCCATGAGGACATTGACTTTGCGAAATTGCACTGTGGGGCTCCCAAAGGTATACAAAGGATTTAGTTATCTTACAACTCTTATTCTGCAGGGAGTTTATATACAAGACAAGCAACTTACAAATTTGATCTCCAAATGTGGGGTTCTTCAAAACTTGACCTTAAGGTATTGTAGGGATTTGGAGGTAATAAAGATTAAGGAATCTAACATGCTTCGTAACTTGACAGTAGATAACTGCCTTGTAAGCTTTGGATCAGTAGATATTGATGCTCCAAATTTGTTGTCTCATGATTTAATTGGTGGAGTATTTTATTATGGCCCTGTATTAAATGTTCCAAGGTTGTTGAATTGCTCAATTACGCAAGACACTGAAGTGATGGATACTGTGTCAAAAAAGAAAAACTATGGTAGGGTTCTACACCACCTGGTTAATGTGGAAACTCTATCCTTGCAAATTTTGTGAAGGTAAAATTCAACCTTTAATGGAATGACTTATATTTTTACAAGTTGTGCATATTGTAGATGCATATGGATGAATTGTTAGGTATCGTTTGGGGAGTCTATTATTAATTTTATAACCCATTTTCACAACATATATTACTTCATTTTGACATTTCATATTTTAATTTTTAGTCTGGGCCTACATATGCAATATTAAAAGTAAAGAAAACAAACCATAGTCCACTGGCGTGTGGTATACGTTGCTCCAAAGGCCATATCCACCATTTATCCCTACTAACGGATGGTTGGAGGTTAATAGTACCTGGATGAATGTACGTATGTGCCTGTAGTTTATCTCGAACCATACGTGTGTGGATGGAGTCCTGGACTTTCATAAATCATAGTCTATTGGTATATGGTATACTTTACATCGAAATATGTTGGAAATTAATTGGATCTTGCTTAGTTTACAGAACTTGAACTTCTGAAAATCATTCTGTCTTTTGAAGTTTATGGATGAGTTATGTTGCATAAGAAGATTGTATTTCTTAATTGCTTGTCTACGATGAAACACATGCAATTTTGGTTCTGTGAGCTCTGCTCTCACCTTTCCTTTTGGTTACAGTCTTTGGCCTATAAGGTAATTATTGCAAATTTTCCTACATGGTTTCCAAATTTGAAGAAGTTGAATGTGCAAGCAAATATGGCAAAGGATTTGGAGGCTGCTGTAATTGCTATTTTGCTTAGTAGTTCTCTTTCCTTACAAGATATTGTTATTCAGGTGAGTATTTTGACTCGAATTCATTTGAGTATATTAGTTCAGTTTTGGTCTTTTTTCTCTAGATGCATGCTTATCTTGTCTTTTCTTCTTCCTATTTCATCTTTTGTAGTTTACTTTAGATGAGTAAAATTTTATGTTAAATCTCATAATATTAAAAAAAACTTATCTTAAAGTCTTCATGATTTTCTTAGTTCAAGCAATGCCATGCAAAAGCTAGTTCCAAGAGACTTTGGGAAACATGGAATCCTACAGGTAGTGATTAAAAGTTTTGCAGGAGAGGTGGACGAAATTGGGCTTGTCAGGTTCTTTCTTGTGAATGCCAAGAAGCTCAGGAAGATCAGAATTAGTTGCTATAGATGCATGAGATGGGGGCCAACGGACAGGCTTAGTGAATTACAGCTCTTGAAGACGGCTACAAAAACCAAACTAATTATTGATTTCAACTCATATGAGGAGAGGTGGACGAAATTGGACTTGTCAGGTTCTTTCTTGTGAATGCAAAGAAGCTCAGGAAGATCAGAATTAGTTGCTATAGATGCATGAGATGGGGGTCAAAGGACGGGCTTAGTAAATTACAGCTCTTGAAGAGGGCTACAAAAACCAAACTAATTATATGATTTCAACTCATATGAGGTAGCATAGCTGAATGGCTCGTGGGCATGTATGTCTTTGATTGAAGTTGACATATGACAATGATTTTGTCATTTTTTGTCACTGCTAGTTTTAGACAATTACAATTTAATTTGCTGATTTCAATTGAAGGAAGACAGGTCTTGGAGGAGTGTTGCTATGTTTTGAACCATGTCACGATGTTCACTGTGATTTTATATTTTGTCGTCTTAAATTATGAACCACACAATCTTAATGATTCCTCTATCAAAGGTGTTAACTCTCCATATATCCACATCTGCTGTACACAGATCTCTCTCTCTCT